TCAATCTTTTTCTCCATCTTTCATGGTTTTGCCTATTGACCCAAAGGTGAGGACTTTTGTTTTCTTGATGTTGAGATGCAATCCATATTGAAAGTTGTAGTCTTTGATCCTCTGCAGCAAGTGCCTCAAGTCAAGGTTGTATTATCTGCATAATACAGTTTAAATCTTCCTCCGATCTTCGTAGACATTTTTTCTTAAAGTTCAACTTCTCAAATGATTTGCTCAGCATACCCATTGAATAGGTATGGAGAAAGGATACAACTCTGAGGCACTTACTTCTGTCTTGATTTTAAACCATGAAGTGTTCTTGTTCTGTTCAGAAAGCAGCTTCTTAGTCTAGGTATAGGTTTCACAGGAAAATGATTAAATGTTCTGGGATTCCCATTCTTCTCAATATTACCCTCAATATTACAATTCACATAATCAAATGCCTTTGCATAGTAAGTAAGACACAAATATATATTCTTCTGGTATTTTCTGCTTTCAACCAGGATCCATCTGAAATCCACAATGATAGATATCTCGGTGCCATAGCCTCTTCTAACCCCAGCTTGAACTTCTGGCAGTTCTCTGTCAGTGTGGATCACCACATTTTATTACAGCCTAATCTTATGTCCTAGCCCCTAGTCTCACAGATCCAACAGCTTGTTTCACAGACATCCTGAATTTAACATACCTAAAAACTTTGATTCTTCTTACCACACAAAACTCTAAATTCTAAATGCATTTAAAAAACTAAATGTATGTGTTGAAGCCAGCCGCTTATGATACTTCTCTCAGGGCAGCACTGGGAAGTTAAGTCAAGTGGCTCCCCAGATTCTCTGCTTGGACCTTCATGATCTGGCCCCTATCTAGCTCTTTAATTCCGTGTCACTCTCCTCCCACTTAATCTTCTCATGATAACTGGTCTTATTTTAGGTTCTTCACATTCCAAGCTCTTTCCTCACTCAGAGTCTTGGCACACGTAATTTCCTCTTTACTAATAGTTTCCTCATTTTCTTTTTTAAATAGGATTTAGCTTAATTTCACCTGCTTGACTCTCCTTGGCTGCCTTCCTGAAACAAATAGAAAAAAGCAATTGCTGTCTGATCAGTTCTTCTCATGACGATCAGTGTATCAACAAAATTGTGTGCCACACGTTTCCCCCCTTCTTTTCTTTTTTTGAGGTCTTTACATTTTATTGTATTTTTTTCACTTACATGCAGAGATTTTGCCTTTAATTAAGCACATACAAAAATATAAGTGTAAGACACAATGTGTAAACTTTGTAAGCAAACCAATTAAAGTAAGAAAAACCAGCATGTGCTTGAAAAAAGTATATAATCCCCCTTACAAAGAACTTTTGAGTGCTTTCTGTCACACATTTTGCACAATTTAATAGCCAAGAACTCTGTCAACCCCTGTTGTTTAGCCAGTCAAGAATGAATACATAAATTTGCTGATGAAATTATGTTGTTGTTAAGTACCATGGAGATGAAACTGACCTGTAGCTGATTCTCCAGCAGGTTTTCAGAGGCAGTAAGTCGCGTGGAAAGAGATTGCCCGTTGTTCTCCCTTGGACCAACTGGTAGATTTGAACCATGTACCTTTGAGTTGACAGCACAACTCCTTACCACTAAGCCACCTGTGCTCCCTAGCAATTATAGGTGCTTGGAAATAATGCTATCTCATGGACTGCTGCTGCTCTGACCTCTTCTCGTCACAGTGAAAGCTATGTTCTTTCCTGTTGCATCTGTGCACAGTTCACACAGACATATCAACATGGTGACTGTTCACTTCCAAGAATGCTGATTGTCATCTCTCAGCCAAGAAAATAGTCCTCATCACTCCTTGGCCCTTGTAGTCTTGATCATGGTGTTAGGTAAACTCAGATGTCATTGTATAATTTGACAGTTTCTATGTTGTTGTTGTTGTTAAGTGCCACTGAGTCATAGACAACTCATAGCGACCCTATCAACGAAAGTCCTCGACACTTGTGTGCGTGACTTTCGGAGGCAAGCTATTTATGGAAGTAGATGCCACTCCTGCTTCCAGTTTCTATAAGTTTCTGTTTTTCTCGCACTTCCCTGCCAGTAGCAGTTCAAGTTATTTTTACCATCAGTTTTGAGTCTTAAGCATAAATCTTACATGTGACTAAACTTTCATGGAATTCTAGGAGGTGCACACAGTTAACTTGTTTGGTTGCTGACACAAATATTGAAGGTTTGAGTTCATCGAGTGACACCTCAGGTTTACTTCTGAAAAATCAGCCATTGAAAATCCAGTGGAGCACAGTTTTACCATTTACTGTTGTATTTAATAGGATTTCAAGAGCTCTGGTGGTTGAGTGGTAAGAAGGTGCATTGCAATCCCAAAGGCAGGCTGTTTGAATCCACCAGCTGCTCCAAAGGAGAAGGATGGGCAGTCTTCTCCTATGAGATTCTCTGCCCCTGAAAACCCGCTGGAGGGTCAGCTGTAGATCAGTTCTGACTTGAGAGCACACAACAACAATAGGATTTCGAAGGGTGAATTTTAAACAAGTCTTTCCTGAGGCTACCTTGAGTAGATTTGGGCCTCCCAAGAAGGGCCTGTCTTCCTCAGAAAACCTCTGTTTTTGCTCTTGATGCCCTTTATTGATTGGGGAGGACCATTAAAGTAGAGGGTGATCTGTTTGAGTTAGAAGTTCATCACATAGAAATACTTTCCCAGCAACATCTAGACTTGTGTTTGCCCAAACAACTGGACAGCGTAGTCTACTCAAAATGACATACAAAATTAACCATCACATATGCCCTCTTCTTCCTCGGAGCCCTGTGGCTCTGTCCATACCTAACATTTCAGAGTCTGCTGCCCACTTATGGCTGTTGTTTTCCCCTGTGGGCCAGGTCCTCTGCTAGGCACCTTCCACACAAGATTGCATCTTGCTGCAGAGCGAGTGACTACCTTTTCCCCATAAAAGGTACACAGAGATGAAGTCACTTGCTCAGAATTACATAGCTAGTGAGTGATGCTTCTTTGAATAAGAATTGATACACAGCAGTGAGTGAGAGGGTGTTTTGGTGGTTGTTTTACAAAGGTTGTGTTCTTTCTGCTGCATCAGACCATTTAGTTCTAGTTCCTTCCTGCATATTAGACACCCAATGAGCAGATGGCTGCTAAATTCTTATCTTCAGTTATAGGTCCAAAAGACATCTCCAGTCCACCCTCTGCTTACTTCTTCATCTTTTCTAATATTGTGCTAACCATCACCATCTCTTGCCTCAATTCTTCAATAGCTTCTTAATGGGTCTCTCTGCTTCCCTATTTTCCCCTGGCAGTTACAATTTGTTTCCCAACTGCCAGCCAGATTGTTTTTTAAAACAAGTAAACTTGACCATGCTGTTCTCCATCTTGGACATTATAGTGTCTTTATTATTCTTAGAATAAATCCCAAACTCTTAACCATGACCTGTCTGTCCCATATTACCTTTCCACATTTCTCTAACTACATCCTCCTGTGCCTCCAGGCATATATATCTTCTTACATTTTTTATTAATTACTGAGCTAGTTTCTATTTTAGTTTTTGTAGTTCTAATGTTACTTCAGCCTAGACCTGGCTTCCCCACCTATAACTTTGCAAAGCTGGCTCATTTGCATAATTTAAGACCAGTTTAAGTCTTATCTCCTCATGGACACTAGCCTTGAGCATGTTATCAAAACAGTTAACCTAACACATAAAAGTAGTAGAAATTTGTATGTTACTGGAATGCTGAACAAGTCTTCAGTGGAGCTTCCAGACTTCTTAAGAAAGACTAGGAAGAAAGGACTGGTGATCTGTTTCCTAAACCAATCACTAAAGACTCTTTGAGTGATGATAATGGTCAGATGCAATAAAACACAGAGAGATATTACTGACCATGGTGTTTCTTGTTGTGGTTTTTGTTTGTTTTTTCACATGTGTGCTGTTGAATCAGATCTGACTGGCATAGGAAGAGATTGCCTCTCCTTCTCCACCGGAGCATCTGGTGGATTCAAACCACGTGCCTTTGGGATTATAGTGCAGCTTCTTGCCTCCAGGCCACCAGTGCTCCCTAGATCAGTGTTTGTTCATTGTGTGTAGACTTGCTAGAGTTGGAGTCTACTCAGTGTCAGCTAACAACAACATAATCCCCTTATCACTACCTATGTGGTGGCTTTCATATAACTAAGAAGCATTACCACTACTGTTTCTGTCAGTAGGCTCACCCGTTGTGGACAGACTGCCATGGAACTTCTAGACTGACTAGAAAAAAAGATCTACAATCTACTTCTAAAAATTGTTGTTTTTATGTTCTATCAAATCAGAACCGACTCATACCTGACCCTCTGGTGGCTTTTCAGAGGCTGTAAATCACATGAGAGGAGATTGCTCATCTTTTCCTCTCAAAGCAACTGGTGGATTTGGTGCTATTATGTTGGCAGTGCAACCTCTTAACACTAGGCTGCCAGCCCCCTTAGTTCATGACAACCCTGTGCCTCGCAACAGGACTTAGTCACGTCCAGTGCCAGAAGATGAGCTCCCCGACCCTCACGCACAGCTTAGAACGCACTCAGAACACAGTGGTCACAGCTTTGGACTGAGAAGCTCACAGGTGATCGTGAGGATGAAAGGGGGCTGGACAGCATTTTGTTCTCTTGCACGGGGCTTGCCGGAACTGAATCTACAACTAAAACCAACCACCTCTCTTTACCTGCCTGGTTTTCTTTCTCCATGATAGTTCTTTCTTTTTCTGCTTGTTTGTTGCCATGCTTCTCAACCAGTATATATAAGCATCATCTTTTGGGTAGTTTCTTTGCTTTACAATATTTTTAAGAATAAAGTCAAGTACCTAGTGAATGCCCATTATTTGCTGGCATCATGACAAGGGAAAGTTTTGTGTGCTTAACAAAGATTATATTTCTTGTAGGGTGGGATTTTCACATAAGAACATTACTATTGTATAATGTTGAAAAGTCTAGTATCCATCTGGCTCTGTGGATTGAAATTTGTTTTTCTCTCCAGTTCTTTTAGAACCCATAAAATTGAGACTGTTCCAACCAGCTCTGCTGCTGATGGATTTAAGGCCAATCTTGTCTTTAAAGAAATTGAGAAGAAGCTTGAAGAGGTAAGCTTCATGTGAAGGGAGGCCCTGAGACTACAGGAAGCAGTCACCAGTTTCAGATGTTACCCTGAGATGCTACCTTTTATAAATTTATGTCGTCTCTGAGTGTACTTTAGATTTCTGAGGTATCTACTGAGACTTTTTTGTATTTCTGTAGGAATATAATTCAGAAATGTGTAAATATCTAGATTTGAGTTATATAAAGAACTATAGTGAAATATTGCTTAAATTTTACTACAAGGGCAAAGCCCAACCTTCATCACTCTTTTCTGCCTAATCCCTGTCAGGGAGGTATTTGATTACAGACAGAGTTCATATGGATTGAGTTGTGTCTCCCCAAAATATGTATTGTAAATTCTAACCTCTGTGCTTGTGGTTATGTTCCCATTTAGGAATGGGCTGTCTTTGTTAAGTTAATGAGAGACAGGATTAGGGTAGGGGGGTGTGCTTTGAGTCACTCTGTTTTGAAATATAAAAGAAATTAAACAATCAAGTACACAGAGATGGAGGAAGAGAGTTGCCAAGCTGCATGACTATTGATTGCCCATGAGCAAAATCTAAAAAGAGACAAGGACCTTCCTGTAGAGCCAAGCCAGAGAAAACCTTCCCCTAATGCTGGCATTTAACTTTAGCCTTCTAAGCTATGAGAAAGACATTTCTGCTTGCCATCCACTTGTGGTGTTCCTGTTATAGCTGCATTAGACAACACGAAGGTACATGACTACAAAAGAACAAATTTCTCCTTTTGAAGAAATGCAGCCATGGTGCTCCTTAAAGACAAGGATGATGAGACTTCATCTCACATACTTTGCACATCTTTTCATGAGAGGCCAGTCTTTGGAAAGGGACATCCGGGTTTGGAAGAGTTGATGAGAGGAAGTCCCTCAAGGAGATGGATTGACATGGTGACCATAACAGTGGGCGTAAAAGCAAGGCAGAGGTGGCAAGATCGTGCAGGACTGGGAGAGGTTTTGATCTGTTGTACATGGAGGAAGAGTCACTTCTAAGCCACCTAACAACCGCAACAATGCCAAAATTCTTTTGAAAACAGGAATCTTTTTTCAGGTTTTTATTGAGGGCTGTTTGTTTCCTTAGCAGTCCATGGTACACTCAATACTCTTCTCCAGCACCACAGCTCAAAGGCATCAATCTAGTTATTGTCCAACTCTCTAATGCATAACAAGTGGTTGCAAAGATCATGGCCTGTATCAGATGCACCTTAGTCTCCAGAGACACACCATTGCTCTTCAGTACTTTGGAGAGGTCCCTAACATCGCAATACATCTTTTAATTTCCTGGCTGCTGGTGCCAAGAGTGTTGATTGTGGAGCCAATCAAACTAATGCTGTGAACAATCTCAATCTCTTCACCATCCATCCTGAAGCTGCTAATTGGTCCAGTGGTGAGAATCTTTGTCTTCTTGACATTGAACTTCAATCCGTATTGAAGGCTGCAGTCCTTGACCTCCTGTAGCAAGCGCTCAGGTCCTCCTCAGTTTCAGCAAGCAGGGGTCTGTCATCTGTATAATGCAGATTGTTGATGGATCTTCCACCAATCCTGACACCCACAATCTTCCTCATAGAGCCCAGCCTCCCGGATAATCTGTTCTGCATACAGGTTGAAAAGGTATGGAGATAGGACACATCCCTGGTGTACACCCTTCCCAATTTTGAACATGCAGTGTTTCCTTGCCCTGTTCTGACAGCTGCTTCATGGTCCAAGTATAGCTTTCACATTAGCACGATCAAGTGTTCTGGAATTGCCATTCTTCTCAGAGTCAGCCACAGAGTAGGCTAAATTATTAACAATGGTTAATTTCTTTCAAATATTTCTCGGTATGTATAGAAACACACAATTTTACATTACTGGGATCATACATGTTTATTTTAGATATGTAATACATGATATGTTCTACATTATATATTTATATAACTGGGATCATATGTGTATTATATAGTTATGCATATTACATAAAGATTTCCTTTTTGTACAAATAAAATTTTTTTATAGACAATAATCATATTAATGCAATGTAACTAACTTTCTAAAAAGAAAATTATTCTCTTAAGTCAAAATTGCATATTTTCTCTTCTGAGAAAACACCAAATGGCCGATGACGCCGGTGCAGCGGGAGGCCCTGGAGGCCCTGGGATGGGAGCCCGCGGCGGTTTCGGCAGAGGCTTCGGTAGTGGTCTGCGGGGTCGGGGCCGCAGCCGTGGACGGGGCCATGGGAGGGGCCGCAGAGCTCGAGGAGGCAAAGCCGAGGACAAGGAGTGGCTCCCCGTCACCAAACTGGTGAAAGATATGAAGATTAAATCATTGGAGGAGATTTATCTCTTCTCCCTGCCCATCAAGGAATCTGAGATCATCGACTTCTTCCTGGGCATGTCCCTCAAGGATGAGGTGTTGAAAATCATGCCAGTGCAGAAGCAGACACGTGCTGGCCAGCAGACCAGGTTCAAGGCCTTTGTTGCCATCGGAGACTATAACGACCATGTTGGCTTAGTCGTCAAGTGCTCCAAGGAGGTGGCTACTGCTATCCATGGGGCCATCATTCTAGCCAAGCTCTCCATTGTCTCTGTGCGGCGTGGCTACTGGGGGAACAAGATTGGCAAGCCTCACACCGTTCCCTGCAAGGTGACTGGGCGCTGTGGCTCTGTGTTGGTACATCTGATCCCTGCACCCCGAGGCACAGGAATCGTCTCGGCTCCTGTGCCTAAGAAGCTGTTGATGATGGCTGGAATTGATGACTGTTACACCTCAGCCAGGGGCTGCACAGCTACCCTGGGCAACTTTGCTAAGGCCACCTTTGATGCCATCTCAAAGACCTACAGCTATCTGACCCCAGTTCTCTGGAAAGAGACAGTGTTCACGAAGTCTCCCTACCAGGAATTCACAGATCATCTTGTAAAGACTCACACCAGAGTCTCCATGCAGAGGACTCAGGCTCCAGCTGTGGCCACCACATAGTGGATTTTCTATAACAAATAAAGTGAATTATGTTATAAAAAAAATTGCATATTTTACTTCAGTATCCCAACAACATTTGACTGTGTGGATCATAACAAACTGTGGCTAACTCTGAGAAGAATGGGAATCCCAGAACACTTGATTGTGCTAATTCCAAACCTATACGTGAACCAGGAGGCAGTCGTCAGAACAGAGCAGGGAAACACTACATGGTTCAAAATTGGGAAGGGTGTACACTAGGGCTGTATCCCATCTCCATATCGTTTTAATCTTTATGCAGAACGGATTATCCAGGAGGCTGGGCTCTGTGAGGAGAAATGTGGCATCAGAATTGGAGGAAGAATCATCAACAATCTCCGTTATGCAGATGACACAACCCTGCTT